TTTGTTTTCGGAGGAGAAATCTAAAGCTGGCGGCGCAGCCGGCGCCGCGCGCCTGCGGCGCGCCGTGGTTTCTTAATTTCGCGGAAACACCCAGTGTGGTTTCTTGATCATACGTGACGTAATCGGTTTCTTGTTTTACACGAGGGCATGGAGGGGGAGAGGAATAGCAAGGCCAAGGGCGAGAGTGGGCAGGGGACGGGTCGCTGGCATACTAGGGGGGGAAGGGTGGTGGGCGGCGACCGCCGCATACCGTCCTATGGCCGCGAGGTGTGTAGCCAGCCAGATCCAGCTGCGCAACGCGAGCGGAGCGAGCGAAGCGCCAGGATGATGTGCTCCACGGCGCACGTCCCTTTGTAACGCTTCACGCCGTCGCCGTGACGTGCTATGAAAGGGCTCGCGTGATCGCGAGCATCGCACAACATCGCCGTTTATCGCATTTTATCGCCAAATATCGCGCGGTATCAGTCAGTAAGTAACCTCACATCCAGGGCCGGGGAGCTAACGAGCTATGTCCTATGAAGCGCACCCAGCGGGCCGGATGTGGGATGATCGGCATCGGGCTGCGGGCAAGAGAGCTCTAACCCGGGGGGTGCGCGTTCGCAGGGACGAGGCCACGAGGGGCCGAAAGGTAGACCCGGGTCACCGAGCACTTGGGGGCCACGGTAATTGTGAGAATATCCCGCCCCAGACACGCGTCAGACTGCGTCAGACTGCATCAGACTGCTTCAGACTGCTTCAGACTGCCTAGACTGCCTAGACTGTGAATAGACTGCTTAGACAACTGGGAATAACCTCTGAGCATCGTGATTCTCGAGTCGTGCTGGTACCGATGGCGGTCTTGCTGTTAGTAGCTCCCTTCAGCTTCAACGTCGGCATGCGTGCACCCGTCAGCATCGCGCCGTCGTCGCTGCGCATGGTCGCCGCTCCCGCACCCGAGTTGGTCGAGTCGGCTCTGAAGACGGTGAGCCTCTCGAATGCGGCGGGCGACTCGGTCACGGTCTATACCTTCGGCGCGTGCATCACCTCGTACGTCAAAGGCGGAACAGATGTGCTGGCAGTGCGGCCAGACGCAAAGCTCGACGGGAGCAAGCCGATCTCGGGCGGCATTCCATTTTGCTGGCGCGCACTTTCGCTCGTTCGACTCAGTCTCCCTCAGTCGGCTGTTCTCTCACTGACTCCTACCCCTGCGTCTTACCAGGCCGCAATTCGGCCCGGGCGCCATCCAGCAGCACGGCTTTGCTCGCAACCTCGACTGGACGGTGGTGGAGCAGTCGGACAGCAAGGTGGTGATGGAGCTGACCGAGAGCGCCTACACAATGGACATGTGGCCGCACGCCTTCAAGCTGCAGTACTCGGTCACGCTCGAGGACGACCGGCTCGCCACCGACTTTTGCGTCACCAACACCGACAGCAAGCCCCTCTCCTTCACCGGCGCGCTGCACACGTACTGGTCGTGTGACGACATCGACAAGGTTGCGATCAAGGCGCCCGCGTTCGCCGGCGCGACGTACCTGGACAAGATGCAGAGCCCGCCGGCCGACGTCAAGTCCGCGTCGGACACCATCAGCATCGGCGCGCCGGTGGACTCGGTCTACGCCGGCGTCTCTGGCGACGTGGTCCTCGAGGGCGCGCACGCATCGCCCCTCACCATCAAGAACTCGGTGGGCTGGAGCGACACGGTGGTCTGGAGCCCGTACGGCGACGAGGGCATGGGGTACAAGAACTTTGTCTGCGTCGAGTCGGCGCAGGCCGCCACTCCGGTCAAGCTCGAGCCGGGCGAGTACTGGACGGGCGCCATGGAGGTGGTGCCCTAGGCCGCCGCAGCTTCCGCGCGTTTTTTCTTCTACCCAAAAGCTAGGCACACAACGCCGACACCCTCTATGCAGGGAAGTAAGCAGTATGCGGGGTCAAGGGCGCCTAGAAGAAGGCGCCGCCCCCCGAAGACGAGGAACCCCACCCGTTACCCCGGCGGCTGCCCCGTCGCGTATAGACAAGACACGCACTTTTGCGTACACACACTGCGAGCGCGTCGAAAGCCACCGGTCGTCGGCTCGTCGCCCTCGTCGTACTCCCCACACCGGACAGGCTAGTGCCATTTCACTGTGGCACAGCTCGCGTACAAAACTTTGATTTTGACCATTTGCGCCATTTGGTACCTCTCGGTGCCTTCCAGAGGCAGCTGTGACCCCGCCGAGTGGACGGGGGCACTCGGCAGGTGGCGCGGAGTGCCCCCGTCCACTTGGCGGGGTCGCAGCTGCCTCTGCGCGTCCTGGGGAGGTACCGAATTGTCGCCGCCGGAGACTAATCGACGCCGCTGAGATCGGAGATCAAGCTCTGACAGGTCGCACGTCGCTCCTTTGACGCCGACGTGACTCACCCGTGCAGATCACATCAGGACACGGTCTCGACGCGCTCGGTACGACGCCTGCGACCCGTCTCGGGTCAGGTGGCATGACGCTCATCTCGCCCGCCAGCGCTGCCATGCAGGCTGCCACGACGAGGTCGAGCACGCTTCTATACGCTCGCCCAGCCTTCCTTTCCATCCCATTAGGCAGCCTGGGAACGGTGGCGGTCAGAGGCAAAGCCTACGAGGGGTGGTGGAACCACATGTCACGGCTACTGCCGGCTCGACCCCACGATAGCCTCCGGAGGCTGACTTTGAGGCACAATCATCGGACGATGTCGACGAGTTGGGTCGCTCTCGCGGTAGCCAGATGACCTCTCATACTAGGAGCATCGGCCATGGCCGCAGGGAGCGCGGGGGAGGGCGCTGGAAGCAACACGGAGCTCCGTTGGAGGCGTTTTCAAGATTAGCGTGTCAGAGTGAAATGGCACTAGCCACAGGCTCCCCCCGGCACGGCTCCCTTGCCCAGCGCATCTGCCGAACATGCGCGCGCTGCTCCTCGCGCGCCATCTCCTCCCTACCTCGGGTACTCAAATAGCCTCGGGTACTCAAATAGCAGATCTCCCGAGTTGGAGTGCCTCCCATTCGGCCGTGGCGAGGCGTGAGAGCGCGCCGCGCTGAGAGTCTTATTTTCGAAGCTGATGCCTCTAGGAGCGAGGCCTCTTCCGTTGCCCCCCCCCCCCCCCCCTCGGGGCGCGCCCGACCTTTGAACGGCCGCCAGGAGCACCAAGAGGACTGCTCATGGCTGTCAGCCCAAGTGGGCTTCGACCGGCCTCGGCTGGGGGGGCGGGTTGTCCCGGCTGCGGACGCCTTCTGCAGCCCCCTGGGCGTGACTCAGCACCCAAAACTGCCCCTCGGCGGGATACAGCACTGCCAGCCAGCCTCTTCCTCCTCCTCAAGGGCTGTACTATAGGCCATATTGCGCCGCCTCCTACTGGCAGCCGGGCGGGCGGGCGCCGCGCGCGCCTCGGCGCGCGCACGGCTCGCCGCCGCCTCAAGGCTGCCGGGCGGCAGTACTCGCCTCGCAAGGCGCGCACCGGCTGCTCTGGCTGCTGCGCCGGCGGCCGCTGCGCTGGCCGCTGCTGCGCTGGCCGGCGAGCGGTACGACCGCCGGCGGCCGCTGCACCCGCGCCTTCCCTCGCGGGCGCCGTCGCGCCGCGCGCGCCCAACTCTGCTGGCACACGGCACGCGTCGTCACTCAGCCGCGGAGAACAGGCGGTGCTGTGCGCGAAGCGCGCGCGATCTCGTAATCAAGGCTGGATCCGGCCATTCCAAGGGTATACCTTTGTGCTTTGAGAATCCCCAGCGTCCCTCCCTCCTAGTCACACTCTCAATATCTCGACTCTCGAACACGAAGTGCTGCGATCGGGGTTGGCCCATTTCGGGTTTCCTTTCTTTTTGGGGGCCCTGTGGGCGCCCTACCTCCGCGGCGCGCGGCGTCCACCCGGATCCCGGTGACGCCAACAGCGACGCGAGCGCGTGATCAATCGCCTCGCCTTCCTCGCGTGATGTCACCTCGCCCGCCTCCGTCGCCACCGCCTTCCTCCCACGTCGCGACAGCGCCTCGCCGCCTCGCCCGCTTGCCACCGGGCGATGACGGGAGCGGCCGCACTTGGAGCACTTGGAGTGCAGTCAGCAACCGCACATCCAGGGCCGGGGAGCTCAGAAGCGCACCCAGCGGGCCGGATGATTGGCATCGGGTTACGGGCTAGAGAGCCCTAGCCCCGGGGGTGCGCGTTCGCAGGGCAAGGGCCTTAAAGTAAACACGGGTCTCGCAGGGTTGCATCTTCTTGTTTCTTTCGAGGCGCGTGCTGTCGCCGCAGCGGCCTTCGCCGCAGTGAGCTGCTGCGTATCCCATCTGCCATCCCACAGCTCCAGCTCTACACGGCGAACCCTTCCCGTCACTGGCCCGCGGAAGAAATAAGAAGGCCGCGGAACGGAGACCATGGTCCGACCGGTCGATACACACTTCCAACACGAAGGCCGGGACGTGATCGCCGCCAGCCAGAGCCGTGGCCGTGCGGCAGCACCACACCGCCTACAGCCGGCCCTCTTGGGCGGCGACTCCCGCGCGTCTGCGTGTGGGTATGGCTCCGAGGATTACCGCAAAGCGGAAAGAACAGATAGGGAACCGCCTCGGTGGGTTGACCGGAAAACGCTACTCCGTCGTATGAGGGGTCATAATCCTCCCGCGCGCGCAGGTGCCCGCCGATCTACGTGCGCCGGCTACCTTCAGCTTGCCCGCCGTCCTCTCTCGCTGCCCGCATGCTCCGCCTCGCTCCACTCCTCCTCGCGACATGTGGGGCGCGTGCACCGCTCGGCGGAAGGGGGACCTCGCTCCGTCCCTTCGGCGCGTTGTCGCTCTCAGGAGGGGCCCTGCCCGCGCGCCGAGCCTCCGCGCCGCTCGTGCTCTGCGCCCCGGCCGCCACCGCGCCGCCCGCAGTCGCCCTCCGCCGCCTCGAGCGCAGCGACATCTGGGCTGCCTCCGCGCTGCTTGCGGAGGTCTTCAGTAGCGAGCTCGGCCCGGTGCAGAGGCAGCTGGTCCAGCTCGAGCACGTCGTCGGCATCGGAGGGAGGCACGGCCGCACCGCTCTCTTCGTCGCAGAGGAGCGGCGCGGCGGGCGAAGCCGCCTCGTGGGCTTCGTCGAGATGTTTACGCAGGAGAGCCCGCCCCGCCCATCCCCTCGCCGCGGCTCTCTCCCCCCTCGCGCTGCTCACGCGCCGCCCACCGCCGCCCGCCGCCACCCACCCACCGCCCACCCGCCCGCCCACCGCCGCCCACCCGTCCACTTGCAGGAGTACCTCTCCGCGTCGCTGCCGCCCGGCTCGCCCGCCGTGCTCGCCGGCCGGCTCAAGCCATACGTCGCCTCGCTGGCGGTGCGGCAGGCGGCGCGCGGGCGCGGGCTCGGGGCGGAGCTCGTGCGCGCGTGCGAGGCTGCGGCGGCGGGCAAGGGGCAACGGATCGTGCAGATCCAGGTCGAGTCGACCAACGAGGTTGCACTGAGGCTGTATGCGCGGCTGGGGTACCGGGTGGTGGCGATGGACACGCGGGCGCGCAAGCTGGTGGGCGACGTCTTCTTTGGGGAGTCCGTCCTCTTCACCAAGCTCACGCTCGAAAAGACGCTTGGCGGCGACGCGACATGACGAGGCGCCCTCGACTGCTTCTCTGACATGGCTGCCAGCTGCGCGCTCCTTTTGTTTCATCGCGAGAGCCCCTCACCGCCGCTGTTCATCGGTCCGCTCCAGGCGCTCGTCCGTCCCGCCACCCTCAAAGCCGAGACGCCACGCGCCCGAGCTGGCTGCACCCGTCCCAGCCGCAGTTGGCACCAACGAAGAGTCTGGTAGCGAAGGTGACGCCACCGCGCCACCGCTCCGCCGGGGGGCGGGCGGAGCGGTGTTTGGGCGCACATGTGGGGAGCGCGCGCCTCGCCGCGTGAGCCTCGCGCGGCGCAACACGGGCCGCACTTTCTTGTTCGAAAGCGGCCAATTCGGCCTTTCTCCCCCCCCCCCCCTCGCCTCCTGGTCCACGTCGCCCTTTCTCTCAAATCCTTTTCTCCCCTTTTTTATTTTTGGTGTACCTGTGTTAGTGCCAGTGCGCGCCAGTCCCGAAAAAGAAGAAAACAGGCAACCCAAGGGAGGGATGGGAGGACGGCACGCCGCCACCACACAGGGATTTTAAGGAGAGGTGTGTGGTGCGCTATCCGTCGCCCACCCTAGGGAGTCTGCCTCTTCCTATCTCTCTTCGCAGTCTCTCGCCGTCCCATAAATAAATAAATAAAACGGGCACGCCAAACGAGGGGTGGGTGCACTGGCGACGCAGAATTTTGTTTTTCCACGAGTGCGCTCGACGTGGCATTGGAGCACCTGGAGTGCAGTCGGCAACCTCACACCCAGGGCGGGCGTGGCGTTCGCCGGCGGCAGCACATACGAGCGAATGGTGAGCGCGCTCCTGTGCCACCTATATCTGGCCCATGCCGACGACACAAACGTCCCTTGCGGGCCTTCAGACGGTCGCTCGGTAACGGAGCAGCGCCAACGTGGCGTGGCACTCTATGCCGCCGGCCGACCAGCGGCTGCTGATCTGTGCCTCACGTCTGCATTGGCGAGGGTCACGGCGCAGCTCGAGTCTCTCGCGGCAGAGGCGGAGGCGATCCGAGCCTACCGGATGGCGCGACAGGCGTCACCAGATGGTCCCGTCAGCGGCGGGGCAGAGGGTTGCCTGGTAGGGGCGGACGGCTCGCAAGTCTGCCTCGGAGCGCTGGCAGGTCGCGCGGAGCCGGCGCCGTCTTCCTCGCTGGCCGTGGCCGACGGCGTCGGCGTCGACGACGTGGCGGGGTGCACGAGCCAGGCGGAGGCGCTGGCGTTCCTGCAGCGCATCGAGCGAGGCGAGTGCCACCGCGGCGCTTGCGACGCCGCTCCGGCGGCGCTCGAGGAGGGCCTGCTGGTCGCGGCGCGGCGACATTGGTGGGAGGCGGCGCGGGGTGTCGTCGGCGTGCTGCGGGGCGTGCCGAGCTTCCAGATCTCGACGCACGGCCGGCGCGCTCTGACAGAGATCCGAGACGGCGCGGGCAGCGTCCTGTCGCTGCTGCGGCAGACGAGCCTCGACGAGGCGACGATCTCGTGTGCGGTGCAGTGGGCGCAAGGCGAGAGCAGCGTGCACCTCAACGTGAAGTTCGCGGCGCGGCTCGACGCGCCTGTGACCGTCCTCAACGTCGACAACGAGGAGGTCTCCATCAATGCGAGCCACGTCACCTTTCGAGGGCTCGGCCGCCAAAAGCCCAAAGTCTACACCCTGAACATCGAGCTGTTTGGGGAGGCGCCGCACCCGCCGCTTCCATCCCGCGCCTCCCTCCGCCCCTCCGCACCCTCCCCTCCTCCGCACCGTCCCCCTCCGCAGGTGGACGCGGCGGCGAGCAACTGGTCGTTTGGCTCGGTGGGCACCGTCCGCTTCGTCCTCCAAAAGGCGGAGCGGGGCGAGTGGAAGCGGCTGACGAAGGGCGCGGACAAGGTGAAGAACCACCGCGTCTGGTGGGAGCACCAGGAGAAGGTGCAGGCGGAGGACCGGGCGCGGCGCAAGGCGGAGCGGGAGGCGGCGGAGGCGGCGGAGCGGGCGGAGCAGCTCGAGCAGGAGGGGCGCGAGAAGGCGGAGCGGGAGAAGGCGGAGGCGGAGGAGAAGGCTGCGCGGAGGGCGACGCAGGCCGCCGCTCTCGAGGCTGCGCTCGCCTCCCTCCGCCAGCTCGCGGCGGGCGGTGCGGCGAGCGCCGAGGGCAGCGCCGAGGGCGGCGACGAGGGCAGCGCCGAGGGCAGCGCCGAGGGCAGCGCCGAGGGCAGCGCCGAGGGCGGCGCCGAGGGCGGCGACGAGGGCGGCGACGAGGGCGGCGCGGCGGCGGCCGACGGCGCGGCGGCGGCAGACAGTGCGGCGGCGGCCGACGGCGCGGCAGCGACCGACGATCCGATCGACTGGTACGACCGGAGCCGCGCTTTGGCGAGCGCAGCGCTCGAGGCGGTCGGGCAAGGTGGCAACGAGAGCGCCACGTCGCAGGCAGAGTCGCTGGTCAACGGCGTTCGCTCGCTCGGCTCGATCGGGTTCGAGGAGCTGACGCGAGACGCGCTCGAGCAGTCGCAGGCGCAGTTCAAGGCACTGGTCGAGGGCTTCATGGAGTCCGCGCCGAAGCCGAAGAGGGCGAAGAAGAAGCGCAAGAAGGCGAAGTTGGCCAAGGAGAGCACCAGAGAGAGCTAGCCGCCGGCGAGGGCGACCGCACGCCCAGTACTTCTCTAGCTAGGGCCACCGCTGTCAGCTCCGAGTGTCGCGGGACGCGCGGCGCGCGCTCGATAGTCACGTGTGGCGGACCCCGCGGGGGGCACCCGCGCACCCGCCAGCCCGCGCGGGCGCCCGCACAGCGCCGCCGCCGGCAGGGCGCAGGCACGAGGCAGGGGAGCGACCAGTGAGGGGCCGAGGGGCGGGCGGGCCCCGGGCTGCAGGGCGCCAGGGGGCGGGTTGAGGGTCGCTGTGCACGGGGCTCGGTCGGGGCGCGGGGAGCCGACGGCGACGCCGACGCGTTGGTAGCGAGGAGTCTACATTTAGATGTGGTAGAGTAGACCCGTCTGGGCTGCGCGTGAGGTAAATCGCAAGAGTCAAGAGCAAGACAATCGTCGGACGTCGCGGGACGCGGGCCCCGAAATGCGCAAAAAACACGCGGGTCTACTCTCGCACCGCACACACGACGCGATTATCCACACAGGACGCGCGATGTGGTGCACGCGGAGCCCTCACCCTCGCGCAGATACAGGGGGGCAGACAACGAGAGGGAACGGGATGCTACAGCCGCCTCAGAAGTCGAGGCCCGCCTCGCGCGCTGCGTCGGCGAGCGCGGCTACCCTGCCGTGGTATTTCTTCCCGTGGCGGTCAAAGTAGACCTTGGAGACACCCTTCTCCTTGGCGCGCTCCGCGACACGCTTGCCCACGTCCACAGCCGCCGCCACATTGCCTCCGTAGCGCAGCTTGTTGCCCTTCTCGATGGTCGACGCCGACGCCATAATGTGTCCGCGCGAATCGTCGACAACCTGGGCGTAGATGTGGTTGTTGGTCCTGCGAGCGGCGGCGGCAGCGGGGGTGGTGCCCGGTTCACAGCTGCGCTCTCTCCGCACGATGGGGACACAGCCACGCAGGCGCGGGCGCTCGGGCGCCTGACGCAAACCAGTCGCATACGGCCGGCCTCAGCCTTGGCCAGCCGGCCGTAGTACTCGTTGTGCTTCATCGCGGGCGACGCCGTCCGCGAGAGCCCCCGCGGCGCGACCGGGGCGCTGAACGCTTCGGCCCCGGTAAGCAGAAGCGCGCAGAGGGCGAGCAGCGTCATGGCCTGGAATCGATCTCAGAGGCGAGAAAAAGAAATTTTTCGGCTCGAGCACGGCTGCGAGCCTGTCGTGTCGCGATGCGCTCCCCGCTCCCGTTCCCCTGTGTCCCTGATCGTCCTTACAAGATCCTGCTCGTGCAGGTGGGGACCCTGTCCTTCTCCCACCCCTCGTTTGGCGTGCCCGTTTTATTTATTTATTTATTAGCCTGTCGTGTCCCTTGTCAGGAGCAGGAGAGCCCCACCTGTGCCCCTGATCGTCCTTCAAAATCCTGCTCGTGCAGGTGGGGACCCTGTCCTCCTCCCCCGAGCATCCGGCCCGCTGGGTGCGCTTCTTACATCTTTTAGCTCACGTGTGCTCCCCGGCCCTGGGTGTTGAGCCCGTGACGGGTTGGCCAAGACCGTGCTCCCCAGCTCCGTGTGGGCGGTGTGCACTCCACAAGCGGCGTGCCCTCTGGGGGGAGGCGGGGGCCCCCGGAGGCACCATGCGCCGCGCAGCAGTGCAGAAACGGGGCCCCGGCGCTCATACTCGCTCCATACCACCGACTTCCCGATTAAGTACGGTTAAGTAGAGGGCAGATTTGGAGAGATCTCGAGGAGTACATACAGGTAGACCCTCCAACCATAAAGAAAACTCCGACCTGATCGATCGTACTGACCGCGGACAGATCACTCCAGACAGCAGACAGGCCGACGTCTGCACGCGGCCGGCCGGGCGAGAGGCTTGACACGATCCGACCCTGCGACCCTGACGCTGCTGCTCTAGCTATCAGACATGCACTGCTGACTGCTGCCACAATGTGCGACCGGTGCTGGCCCACTTGGCGGCCTCCCGGTCAGTGGTGAGGCGCAGTTCAGAGCTGTCGATGGCGCGATGCTGCACTGGTCCCACATTGGTGACACGATACCACCACGTTTGCCGGTCCAAGAGAGAGGCACCGGCGCTGTCGTGAGAAGGTGCATGGTCCCTCTTGACTGCCCATGCGCGCGAGGCTGTGTAGGCATAGCCTCGAGAGTGCCAGCAGCCAATCCGAGGCAGTTTGTGACGCGCATTGCGTCAGAAGCGTGCACGCGCTGGATGGAAGGACACCTTCCTACTGGCCGTACGATCAGGTCGTCACTGAATGCTAGATACTAAGGCCGCGAGCTATGCAGGTGGTCAATTGTTCAGCAGGGCACGGTCAGCAGCGCCGACAGGCTGTCGCAAGGCGTGATAGCATGGTCGCAAAGAAATAAATAAATAAATAAAACGGTCACCTCTACGGGGTGTGGAGGGTGAGTTGAACAAGGGGTTGTGCGCCGGGCCCTCCTGCTCGGCTCCAGCCCCTGTTGATAGGTCCAGGTGATAGTCAATGCATACGCCTCACTGGGCCTCAGATCGCCCGACCGCGTCCCGGTGCTCTGCCGTCGGATTTGTGACTCCGCCGCACCGCGCCGCGGCCGGGGGCCCTCCGGAGGCCGAGGATGGCCGTGACGGACCGGGACGAGCTCTGGGAGGTTCAGTGTCAGTGTATATATTGTAGAGATCAACCATGTCCACAATATCTCTCAGTCTAGCTAAGCCTGGGAAGGCGATGCTGGGGCCGTACAGCAGCTTGATGCATGCCACCGAAGCGGCGCTGTCGAGGTTCGCCGAGCGCGGCGAAATCCGGGGACACCGTCACCGACGAGCGCGTTGGAGTATTCACTCCGGACAAAGACGGCTACACGCACACGAGCCGCGGTCGTGTAGCCGTCTTGGCGGCGAGGCGCGGGACCGTCTGTGGCGAAGTGGGTCGCGTCCCCGGATTTCGTTCAACCCACCCTCCACACCCTCTACTGTGAGATGGGTAAAAAGGAACAGGTCCCCGCCCTTGCGATCTTTGTGCAGGGTTCTTTGTGGGTGTGGTCGGCGACTAGCCGGGCCGTCGCAAAGACCAAAGTCGCAGTACGCGAAATTCTCATATGAAAACAAGTAGAAAATCGCGCCAAAAAAAGAAAATCGGGGAAAAATCGGCGCCTGCGGCGGGCCATGGGACCCCATCTCCCCCCCGCATGGGTACCCCCTAGGGGCCCCGCCTCCCCCCAGAGGGCGTGCCAGCTGCCAGAGGCAGAGCCGCGAGCGTCTGCGTGTGCCACAGCCCCCACCCCCACACCGCGGGCTCCAAAAACCAAGCAAAAGGAAAAGCAATGGCGTGGGCGTGCGGCCGGAGAGGAGATAGACTGCTCGTAATCACAACAAAACACATCAACGTCGGCGCAACGGGCAGGGGAAACAAATTCTGCGCTCTCAGGAAAGTGGGATGGAGAGGCCACCCGGACCCGCGACCCGGCACGCTCTCGCGGCTCGGCTCCCCCCTCCGAGAGTGCAGAGAGTCTCCCGGACCCCTGGCCGGACCCTTTACCGTAGTACTAGTCGCGGCGAGCGCCCCGCGCGCCGCGCGTCTCTGGCCCTCACGCGCGCGGGCGCGGGCGTGCGGCTGGCTGCCTGGCTCGCCGCGCAGAGAGCCGTGCATGTAGAGGGGGGGCGGCGCCGGATAGCAGACGCAGCGCGCACGCACGCGCGGCGTCTGGCGGGCTCACTGCGCCTTGGAGCCGTCCTCGAACTTGCGCGGCGTCTGGAGCGAGAAGAGGCAGCAGAAGCCCGAGATGAAGATGGTGAAGAGGAGCGCGAAGACGAGCAGCCCCGTCAGGAGGTCGCGCTCAATCATCAGCTTGACGCCCGTCTCGCCCGAGCTGAGGCGGCGGCGGGGCGCCTCGAGAGGCAGCTTCGAGCCGGTGACGAGCGCGCCGTAGTTGCCCGAGGTGGCGCCCGCCACGTGCCCGCAGACGCGGTGCACCGCCTCGTCGTGCGCAGACAGGTCTGCCGCAGCGTGCTCGACGAGGAGCAGGTCGGCGGCGCCGTTGGTCAGGATCTCGGGGTGGGCGCGCAGGTGCGCCTCCACCTCATCTGGGCGCAGCCGCGGCGCCTTCTCGAAGATGCTCGGCCGGCGGGGCGAGCGCGTCGTGAAGGGCGCAGTCAGCGACGCGGGTGCGCTGTCCATCAGGCTCTGCACGTGGCGCAGCTGGCCGCCCTCGCGGCGGACGTCCTCCGTGCCGAGCCCCTCGAGCAGAAAGACCAGCTGCACCTCAGGCAGCCGTGCGCCGCGCGCCGGCTCAGACGCGAGCAGCGGCGCGCCCTCGTTGCCTGGCTGCCCCAGCAGCGCAGCGACGGCGACCTCCAGGTCCTGGCCGCTCACCGCGTCCAGGTGCTTTGCGCCTCGGCCGAAGCCGAGGCCCTCGGGACCCCACATCAGGGCTGGCGTGTAGGCGACGCCGGAGGCGTCGAGCTGCGTGACCGTGAGCAGGGCGGCCACTGACAACATTTCTGGGGGACACAGCCGAAGAGCGCGAAAAAGAATTCTAGTCCCAAGAAAACTCTCGCCAAACTTTGGCCCATGCGCATGCTCTTCCTCGTGCTCGTCGCGCGCTCGGGAGCCGGAGTGGCGGGGTCGGAGCTGCTGCAACGGCGCGAGTGGCCGCGAGGGGTCGTGCTGGGGCTCGCCAGAGAACGAGGCCACGGCGCGGCGCTCGCGGCGGCGCACGGGGCAGCTTTGAGCAGTGCAGCGCCTCAACATCAGCTTCAAGCAGTGCAGCGCAACGCCAGTGGCCTCTCTGGAGCTGTGCGGCGGCTGGCGGGCCTGTGCGACGGCGCCGATCCGTGGGCTCGGGACGCGCAGTCGGCTCGCGTGCCGGTTGCCGAGTCAACCTGGCTGGCGAGAAGCGCCAAGGCCCTCCCTGCATTCTGGGCGCTGCCCAGAAGTGCGCAGTGCCTTTGCTGCGCCGACGGGCGGCCTCGATGCGGATTGCCGCGAGTGGCGTGGGAGCCTCCAGTGGCACGGTCGTTGGTCAACACCGCGGCGCGCGCGCGCCGCGGGTGCTGCACAACAAGCGGAGGGCATGGGCGGGCGCTCTATCGCTTTCCGGAGCCCAACTTTGACTATCGATTGCCGCCGGTTATTATAACCGATGGGAGATCGTTCCGGCAGACGGAGGGATTCAACGCGGCGATAACTGCCCGAGACGTCCCTAACCTTTATTTATTTCTGCCCTGCTTCAGGAACCGGAGGTCGTCTTCCTCAACCAACCAAACCTCATTACCGACTGCCGGTCGTTGGGGACACGTGACTCCTGCAAAGGGCAGTGTCTCCACCCGGGAGTCGGACATTCCAAACCCCCCCCTGCCCCCTCTCTCTCCCCCCCTCTTCCTTGGCCTCTTTCCCTCCCCCCCTCTTTTTTTCTCTCCTTCGCCCCTATGTGCGTCCCTCTGCTCCGTTCTTTTTTTTCTTGTCCTCGTTCCTCCCCCTGTGCTTGCTTTCCTTTGTCGCGCCTTTCCCGTCCCTCTTTTTTTTCTCTTGTCTTTCTCTCCGTTGGTCTTTCTCCTGCTCTCTCCTCTTGCTTCTTCTCCTGCTCTCTGCTCTTCCTTTTTTCCCCTTCCTCCTTCTTCTCCTGGGGGCTTTGTCTTTTTGTTTTCTCCCTCCCTCT